GGCCTTAATATATTTAGTACTGAATTTTTTTATTTGATCTTTTATTTTATTTTTTGGCCTGCTAAGTGGGAAACCTTTTGAAACGGCACCTATGGGTAGATGGTCACTGTTATTCACCAACACCTTTTAGTATTTTTAAAAAGAAAAAAAAGTGACCGAATTGCTTTTTTCATATGATTCATAAAAGAGAGTTCGCGTGAGTAAAGAAAATATAAAAACATAAGCACCCACCTTTTATTTTTTATGCTAGTAAGTTATTTTAGATTTAATAAAGAGTTGGGCAAGTATTTATATTTAACTATTAAAATTCATATTGCTTAACCTTTTTGAGGTGTACAAAGTCGGTTTTGCTATAGAGCCATCGGATGACTCGACTTATAGAGTCATCCACACTTATTCATTAATAGTGTATTGATACGTGTTCTACAATAAATACAATTTGAACATGTGTCAATATATTAAGTGATTGATGACTCCATAATAAAACCATGCGATGGCTCCATAGAATTTTTAGGTATTTAAAAAAGTAAAAAGAAAAAAGGTTACACAGGCCACATGGAAGCCACATTTTCAGGACCATGCTAACTTTATTATTATTATTATTATTATTATTATTATTATTATTATTATTATTATTATTAGTATTAGTATTATTATTCCCTTTGTGATACAATAACCGGTTTACATAAACTTCTTATCATTCTTGGGAACGTATTTAAATGTATTCATTGGAGGCTTTGAATGGCATTTTTTCTCAAATCGATACTTTTTAGGGTTTTTTTTATTTAAATTGAATCCTCCAAAATTTAATGACTGAATGTGAGATTTTTTCATATTTGATTTTTGTCTTTAAAACTCGATAAGTCTTAAAAAAATTCAGACAAATACAAATAATAAAAAAAATTGAAAATCCCATAATTTTAAGACTTTTTTAAATTATAAATGAATACCCAGAACTTATAAAAAAATTTAAAAGAATTAAGTTAAATACACCATAATTCTTAATTTTTTTTAAAGAATATGAATACGTCCCCCTTAATTAATTTCTTGAACTGTCAGATAATTTAATAAAGCCAAACATGTATGATGTTGCTTTCTGACTAGGCCCATCTCAATTCTAATGAGAAAATCAAGCCAAACATTTAATAAAGCTACATGACGGCCCACTAACATGAAGGCTGCTTTCTGACTAGGCCCATTTTCTCAAATGTATGATGTTGTTTGCCCTTATTTGGTTATTTCTATTGAGACTTCAATTTCATTACAGCACTTGATCCATTAAGAAATTGGACCTTTGACCTATTGGGCTAATATTTTAAAATTAGCTTTTCCAGTAACAATAAGTATGTCAACTTTAGCTCCAATATTTTTGTGGAAATTAAATAAAAATATCACTTATAGCTGCAAAATTATCTGGCCTCATCTTTAGTTGCCACATTTTCGAAGACTTAACTCCATGATTTTTTTTTTCTTTTTAGTATTAAAATCAGTTTAATATAAGTTCATGAAGGTATGTTTAATCACAATTGTGAGACAACGTAACTTTTTTTTTTCTTAATCACAACAATTTTATGTGAAACAACATAACAGGTAGACTGATATACTGCAATTTTATTGAAAAAGTATGAAGGTCGATGTATCAAATTAATTATTTATTTATTAATGTTGACTCTTTAAAATCCATTCAGAATCCACTAGACTTTGCTTTTTCCTTTTTCCCCTTTCAATTTGTCTTCATTTTACAACTTGGTCTAGTGCACCCTTTTTATCCTACGTCCTTTTGGTTTATCAGCACTTTACCTTTTTTATTTTATTTTTATTTTTTATTTTTTTAATTAAAGATGAAAATTAAAGAAGGAGAAGAATATGAAGTTTCTTGAGTCTTTCTTGCTATGTATATTACCCCACAATTAATGGTCAGTTGTAATTTATGTGCTGGGGAAAACAATCTTGATAATTCTATTAATGTGCTTGCATTCAACTGTTGTTGTAGCATAAAAAGTCAAGAAAAAATAAAGAAAAAAGAAAACGATAATCTAGTAGATTTTAGCTTAATCTAGTGATTAAGAACTTTGATTCTACACGTAACTTGATATTTGTAATTTATATGGACCGAAAAGGAAAGGGCCAAGATTATAATTATGATTCTATTCGACCCTTAAATGAGATATTTAGCAGTTTTCACTATCTAATTAAATTAGCTATATGCAAAGGTGTTTAGTAAATATATAATTAATTGTTTTAAATGTAAAACTAATTAAAATTGCAATTCTTTAACCAAAAAGCTTCGATATAGTTTTTTTTTTCAAAATTAATATTTTGGATCCAAAATATAATTTCAAATTACGTACTACTTACCCATAATTAAAATTGAAAATTTTAGGGGTAAAAACGCTAATCATTAAGTGACATCTCAAATATATTATTATTTTTTTCTTACATAATAATATAATAAATTTAAAATGAAGAGCCGTATAAGAGACCAATCCACCTATCTCATTCTGTGCTTAGGTTGGGTAATGCTATTTGAAAATGTATAATTCATTCATAAATATCATATACTTTTACATTAAAATTATTATTCATTCATCTGTTATTGTTCGTTTTCTATGCATGATCAGCTAAATTTTCTACCGGTGTCTCTTCAATAAAGTTGATGGAGAGTATTTTCTTAATTTTATACAGGGGAATAAAATTTAAACGTTACATTATACACATTGTATAAAAACTAATACAATATTTGGAGATGAACTTTGAGTTAGACAATCAGAAATTTAAATAAAGTGTGACATTATTTCATATTATGCATATATGCATTTTTTTTTTTATAATAAAACATGTCTAGGGTTAGACAATCCTAACAATATCATTTGTGTTGTCTATATTGTTCATTGAGGACGGTGACATAATTTTATTTCGATATCAAAACAAGAAGATGCCACAAGATCTTGAGGTTGAAGAGAGTCCTTTTAGTTAATCTTAGCTGCTAGTGCTACCCAACGAACGAACCGAAGCGAAGTTCAATCATAGAAACAAACTCTAAAGGTAGTTACTGACTCGTCATGTTCGCTTCTTTTGTTTAGTCGAGACTCACTTCGTTCTCCTGCTCCCATTTTGAGTATTTCAAAAATGTCATTTTCTACGTTTTTGCCTATCACTTTGCAAACCTACATCATAGCTCTCAATTTGGTTGACAATAGTAATACAACTAACAAAAATAAATCTAAAATATGTTATCATTTTCGTTGATTTTGCAGTAGTCCAACTTTCTATTACCTAAATATACCTAATTAATTCATAGGCCGAAAATGACGTGATTATAAAATCAAAACGATACATCCCATGTGTGTGTTGGCATCTCAAAATGATACCTTCCCATGTGAATTTTATTTAACTATTATTTAAATAATGATTTAAAAATAATTCTTTGCCTTTTCCTCTCAGCTTTGCCACATTATGTTTTAAAGTTGACAAATTGGCTCTCAAACTACACCACACAAGACTGATGATTCATCTCCTAACATTTAAAATCATTAAACGACAAAAAAAAAAAAAAATCTAACTCAATTAATGATGAATTTTATATTAAATTTTAAATTGTTTTAGGACTTTTGAAACTCAAGTTGATTCGTCGATAATCATATCACAATGAAATTACGCAACATGTATGCATGCATGAGAATAACTTCATTTTTTTCTATGATCAAGATGTCAAATATTTGCTTTGGAAGTCCTACAAGTTGAGTGTATTCTAATGAGATATATGTCTTGTGAAAATCGAACGTAAAACTTTGGTTAGCAGCAAAAAAATCTAACTACAGTATTTGTCTAACTTTTAGACTCACGACAGTGACCTATTGAAGTTAATTGGCATACAAGTCCCCTATTGTAATAATAATTACCACATTAAGTATATGAATAAATATATACAAGGCGACTGTAAATCTTTCAAATGCCCGAACTAGGCCAATTCGGCTCAAAATCGATCGAGTTTTAGGTCATCCAGCTGGCCGGGCCATGTAGAAAAATTTTATTGGATGTGGGGCCTACAAAAGTACACGAGTTTAAAGAGAGCCAAAAAGTGGAGATGTTTTGGTAAAGTTAGATGAATCTCTAACACAAATTGCTGTCAATGAAACCTGTTGTTGAAATTGGAGAACCCTTTTTGGTAGTAAAAACTAAAAAATGCAGCCCAAAAATCGGACTAATTCATTCTTATCTTGACCAGGACAATTTAAGACATGTGAGTGTGACATTTGACGACAACTTAGACTTTGTTGTCTTGATTTGATGAAGTTACTTAAATAATGCATTTATATGTGGTTCTGCTTATTGGCTGTAGGTTACAAATATTCAAACCATCAAAGAGAATAAGCGGAAAGTGTGAAAGCTATGTAAATTGGCCAAAAACAAAAATTTCAAACTCTCTCTTACATTTATTTAATTCCTTACCTAAAACATTGCTGTTTTCCTCTTTAAGGGAATTTATTTTATTTTACTGCTATAACGTTTCTATTTACTCGGTTAATTTTATTTTGAACTGTTTCATTTTGTGTCTAACTCTATTTTTATTTTATGGAGAAAACAGATGTTAGATCGACCAAACAGTTAAACATATTTTTCATACCGAAATATTACTCTAGAAGACAATCTAAATAAAAATATGATATTTAATATCACAAGCATACGTTCCGGATCGACCCACTTAATAATTAGACCGTCTCATAAGTCCATTTGGGATTGTCAATCTACCTAATAGAATACAAGGGAATAATATTTGAGTGATAAAAGGTATTGTCAAGGTGAAAAACTATACTTTAAAAGAGCAACACAGAACAAATATTTTCACATGGTTTTAAAAAAATTGAGGAGTTTAACTACAAATCTAATTTTTGCATATAGATTAGATGGACCAC